CCAAATAAAATGTAGCTTTAAAATAACATGCTATGATTTTTTATGCCAGTAAACATTTTTACACAAAATGGCTTGGCAGTCTTAGGGTGTAGTCTCATGTACTGGCTTAACCACTAAGAGATTTAAGATAATATCTGTTCATATTGCACCCCCAACTGACTTTTACACCCCGCACTGAATAACGTAACATGTTAATAATTGTCTTTATTGTGTGATCTTATCTGAGAGTCAGCATAACGCTTTTATGTAAATGCTTACAGTTTAGTATATATATGTGGAACCAGAAAGATAATTTTTCATGTGGTACAAACCAAGTACAAGAATTTCAAATAGTAGAATGCTATACTTTTGTCACAGATCCGCGCACAGGGCCGCGGTGAACTACTGGTGTCATTATGCTGGCAGCCTGCGGCAAACAGGCTTACAGTCGTCGTGCTCAAGGCTCGCAATCTGCCGAAGATGGACGTCACTGGATTAGCAGGTAAGGCTAGGCAGCTGTTTCAATATGGCAGCTTCAGTTCTTATCATGTTTATACCACGTTGTATGGACTTCTTTTGAATTACCTGCTAGGACATATATTGTTTTACTACTATCAAACATTTTTTTAAGGTGATTACGAGGTCAGAATTTCAAGTAGTCATAACTGCTCATTTTATATCAATAATTCTAATTAATCTCTATTACCATTATCACCAATATCATTATCATCTCGTACAAAACAAAAATAAAGTGCCAGTGAATTACGTATGTCTTTATGTTGTACCTAACTTTTTAATAACTTCAATTCTTTACCAGCGACAAAAAGCAGTGTTGCCTTCGTGTGATTTCAGATCCGTATGTGAAGATGTACCTGTTGTACAATAGCCAGCGAATAGCCAAGAAGAAGACGCATGTGAAGAAACGGACATTGAATCCTGTGTTCAATGAATCATTTGTGTTTGACATCCCTGTGGGTGCTGAGGGTCTAGACAATGTGAGCCTTGAATTATCGAGTCACAAAGAATGAGGTAATAAGACATAACGTAATCTTGTAAGTTACAAGAAGGTTTGTCAACATGTTTGAGGTTGAAAATTGTGAGGAAGCTAAACACACTGAGAAACAAACTCACATCAGAGTGAAGAAGGTGTCAAAGACTGTTGATAATGCCAGTTTAACCCCGCCAACAGCAGTTTGATAATTTGTAAAAAAAAAAGGTAACATGAAAACAACCAGTGAATTTAAGGTTTTCTTTTGTAGAAGCCTTTCCTGTAAATTTGTGGACAGCGCTCTTGTTCCCAGTCTGATAGGCAGACCCCACTGTGCGGCTGGTTGCAATTGCTACTGCTGTTATTCTTGCTATTGTCGTTCTTATTATTTATGCTGAGCTAGTGATGGTTGTAGTTCTGTTTCTTCACCAATTTGTCTCCATCGCCAGCAGTTTGACAATTCCTGCAAGAAAACAAAAATAACATAAAAAAATCCAATGTACTTAAAATGATTTTCTTTCTATGGAAAGCTCCTGTATTGAGAGCAATACTGTTGTTCCCCATCCTAGCTGGCAGATGTCACTGTGAGGCTGGTTTTGGTTATTGTCCTCCTTTCTTATGCTTCTTCTTGCTGCTGCGCTGTGACAGTTAAGGTTACGGTTCAACTTCTAAAATTCTCTCCCTTTGTTCCTGGAATAACTGCAATTCTTATGAAACCAGATTGCATATGGAAACTGCTGTCACATTCCAAAAATAATTGATTTTCTCAGGGTGGAGTGTCTTGTTTGAAACCATGAATTGAAATAATGGACAAGCATAATGGATGGACAACTTCCATCAGAGGGGAAGTAAAGCTGTCAGTCCCATGTTGTAGATTTATAGCATGTAAAAGAACCTTACGAGCATGATACAAGATGTTTTGTAAGCAAAATTCAGCGGCCATTTCTCACCAAAGTCTCTCCTGATTCACTACTAGATGGCTCTAGCAGACAAATCAGGATTGAGTAGAAATTGTGCAGAGGCAGTGGGCTTGTCACTCACTACTCATAAATGCACGCATTAAAGACAAAGAAACCTCCCGAATGGGAGGAGGCCAAGGCTCAACTTTGGCCTGTTGCACCATAGGAGAAGAAGATGTGAAGTGACAGCTTGAAGAACAGTTCCAAAGTGATGATGTAAACTCTTGTGAACAATGTGTAATTTCTTTGTTGCACGCAGGTTTTTAGAAAGATACATTGTTTTATTGAAAAACATAGCATAACTATGGGATTTAAATTGGACCTGCAGAGGATATGGGGGTTAAAAGTATGGCACTTTAAATTTTAAGACCACAATCTATGAGTGATGCACTTGACTTATAATCACATGTTTCAGGTAATTGGACGATTGGAGCTGGGAGCAGCCAAGAGTACAGGATCTGCATTGCATCACTGGAATGAGGTGTGCAACTCCCCTCGGCGTCAAATTGCGGAGTGGCACAAGCTGCGAGAGTAACTACCTTTAGTGACAATATTATTATGTAGAACATCTCTATGGTTCCCATCATCTGTAATAAATACTCTTGAAGTAATTTAATATATATTGCTTGCGAATCATGTGGTCTTGTAAGATTATCTCACAAAATACCTGAGTTTGTAAATGATTCAAAATGTGAAGACTGGACCTACATGTGTATATAAGACTTGACTGACTAGTTTGTTTCCAGAGCAAAATATTAGACCAAGTAAAAACCCATGAATATTCAATACAGTGGTTGGGCATGGGCCCTTTTGTAAATAGTGTTTGTACCATGACCTTGCCTTCTTAGCCCTCTTCCTACTCAGGACTAGTTCTGGTAATTCTAACCTATGACTGAGCTTTTGTAGTGACGAGTACACTTTTACAGAATGTTTGTGAGTGATATGTATATGTTATAGGCTTCAAAACTGCTAAGCTGCATTTCCTGTGCTTTTAAAAACATAAAAGCTGCTTTTAAAAATGATGCGTGTATGAGCAAATATCCTCGATAGATTTAAGTTTTTGGCTTTTTATGATTGCAGTCATGATTCATAATTTTGGATGGTGAAAGAGAGAAATATTTTAGTGGGAACATTGATGTATAAAGTAGCATAATCATAACCAGAACCAACCCTGTATGCTTTAAACATCACGTCAAGCTTTCCATCTGCTGATACCCTTTACGTAATAATGTTGGTGTATGTATTAATATTGTACTACAGTACTCAACAACAGGTGTTGGAAGAACCCATTTTGTGACAGTGGAAACAAATGAGTTTTGCTATGTGTTACTTATACATGTAGGTCTTGAAGAGAATTGTAATAAGAACCAAAGAAATGAACTCACCATCCCAGTTTTTTCTATTTAATTTGTTTGATTTAGTAGAAAGAATATGTTTATAAAATTAAACATTCCATGCAGAAAACCAAGGACTTACAGATAAACAGAATGGAGATTGTTGATATTTTTATTCTGTTTTAAACATTTTTAAAAATTGTGATTATATGTTGATATTCTCTTTAATGTCTTGAGTTCACTGCAAGTTATTTTGTGCTTGAGGCACACTTCTAAGTTCACTGTGTAAAACACAAGGTTGTATAAAATGCTGTAATTGTATTACAGTGAAACCTCTATCCATCGTTCCCGGAACTATCGTTTTCCCGGATGCATCGTCCGTTTTGTTCGGTCCCGAATACATCCCATATAAAATAATGTTACATTTTCCCGCTTCTATCGTTCCTCGAACTATCGTTTTATCGCATCGATCCTTAAAAAATCTTAGTCCCAGCACACAATTTTCCCGCAATGATCGTTTCTGAGAATTTAAAATGCTAGGTTTTGAGATAAATTAATACCGAAAGACGCACAATGTTTTTGGAATAAACAGTAGCGGTAACCTGTTATGTCGCCCAACCAGCACATTCTTTTGGAATGAGGGTCAGCGGTGCAGGGGTGATATTGGAGTGAATGGCGGTGCTCATTGTCAGAAATTTTACGATTTTAATTAGGGTACACTCATATTTCGTTCCAGCGATGCCAGATGGCATGTGCAGTGTGAATTTCTTCACAAATGCTTTTATTACAAGTACAAAGGAAAGGCGAAAGTGCTGCTGTGGATGTGGAAATAACGGAGCTGTGGCTCGAGAGACTGCCAACACTGCTGGAGGGATATGAGCCGCGGGACATTTATAATGCGGATGAGACCGGACTTTTCTACAACGCCCTCCCGGATAGGACTCTGGCATTGAAAGGTGAATCTTGCCACGGGGGAATACGTGCAAAACACCGAATTACTGTTCTTCTGTGTGTTAACAGTGACGGTAGTGACAAACGGGTTCCGATTGTAGTTGGAAAATCACGAAACAACACAATTAACAGTTAAAACTATAAAGTAGTGTTCTTCATTGGTGCTGACATGTGTATCAGGCCAATTTAGTTACATGGATCACTTTGTACAAATTATTCTTCTTTTATGGCTGTCCGGTCCGTATTCGGTCCATGACTTCCTCAATTCTCCTCTTCCATTCGGTCCTATCTTCCGCTGCTCTGTTAGGTCCATCTGTCCCGAGGCTTTGATTGAGGTTTAGAAACATTTTCCTTTGTAGAAATACATTGTCTAAATTCTTAGTAAATCCAAGTAATTCTGTGATATAAATTCATCACATAATGTTGAACAGCATACAGATAAAAAAATTCTTATAGTATTTTAAATCCTATATGTATGTTAATCTATATTTTATTAAATCTGTATTTCTTCTGAATCGTCTGGTGTACTGCGGGGTTGGGGGGATTATTTCCATTGCAGATTATATGAAGGTTGTGTTGTGGCTGTGTGCATGTTGATGTTTTGATATTTGTGTTATTATATTGTCAGTTGTGTTACGTACTTGTAATTATAACCTATATTACTAAAGGCTTCATGTGTAAATGCACTTTGTGGAATAATAAGTGAATTTGTGGCAGGTTACTTACTTGAGCAATGCTGTTGTATTGTGCCTGTCCTGAGCATTTATTGTTGTCAACTGACATATTATGCGTACTGCTCAGCATGCGCACATGTTGCTCTTTCTTTTCCTAATTGTAAATAAATTAGAAAATGGAATTTTCACTTTCTGCATGCATTTTTCAGAATAATTCCATCTATTTTTCTGCTTTTATAATTGTAAAATCTCTCTAAGTAGTCGTAAAATTGGCTTTTTTGTAGTCTGTAATATGACCATTGTCTTGTATGGGTTCATATTTATGCTACTGTCTAGTATATGCTGGGAAATTTTTGAATCTGATTTGTTACATTTGATTGCTTTGATATGTTTGTTATATTTTTTATATGCATCCAGCTTAACTAACATGTTAACTGGTATATTCACTGTTTTCGTGTGGGTCTGTTTGTTGATATGGTTTTGTAGTTTTGCATAGATGGTTTTGGTAGTCTCATAGGCTATCTTCAAATTAACTTTTATGCTTATTTATTTCTGAGTATGTCAATGGCCATCAGCAACCGACAACAGAGGAATATTGTACACTCCCGTCTGAAAGTAATCTGCTTCTGTGATTTCTTTCGTCAGGAATCCTGTTCCTTGATCAAAGCTGCCCTGGCCCACAAGCATGCCATGCATTTGTGGGGAGGGGGTGTCATCCTTGTTCCTCACCTGCCTGACACCCGTTCTATACAGTATCACCCTCCTAGGAGACCAAGGCACAGGACCAAGCTCAGACTTGCACACATATCACTGGGCAAAATTGCCTCACTCAGGTCAAGCTCACTGGTGCAGCCCTGTCTTACCACACCTCAGTCCTCAGAGCCAATCCCTATCCTGAAAAGGTAAGATAAAAATGTTGACATAACATACTAATTAAATTTGCCAGATGCTGATACTTTGTATCAAAACATGTCATCACCGATGAAGTAGAATATTTTATAGTTTCAACTATTAGTTATGTTGGTGGTAATAGTATAAAATGCAATGTTAAAAGAACATAACTGAAGAATTGTGTTATAAGAGCATAAAATTCTGTTCTGTATCTGAAAGTATGTACACGCGCGCACACAAACTTATACACTTCAGTAAAGCTGACAAATTCACATTGTTATGAAAAGGGAACATATCAAAGTTTACTGGCAGACAGGTCATGGTAGACTCCAAATAATTGTAGGATTTTGCAAAAATACATGGTCACTTGGAGAATGTTGTTCATATTCAAAAGTAGAGTGTTGTAGCTTCATCTTTCTTATATATGTGTGTGCGTGCACATACACGCGTGTGTATTTATGAATAGTGATGGTTTTCCCTTGTTGGGTTTCTGAACATTATCCCACTTTTTAATTCACATTTTCTGTTTTAAAATATCCCTGACAGTAAAAATCTCCAACTAAGCGGCCATAAACATGTTCAATTCGAAGGCTTTGAGAAAACTGTCATAAAAATTTTATAAAATTTTCCACTGATATTTAGTATCAAGGGCTGGACATTGATTGGTCATTTGATATTTTAAAAATAAATGCACAATAGACTTTTATTATCATGGTGCTCACCCATTTCTATTTTAACATTCTTGGTGCAACATGTTTCTTGCATTACTGTTATTTTGAAATATCAAATATGGGAAGCCCAGAAATATTATCACACTGGAAAAAACCCTGTATTATGAATAAACATAGCAACACAAATAAAAACTGCTACATTACTGTTTGCTTTTCCACAGTATGACACTATTATAATTTTTGCTTACTGCTATTTTTGTGCTGTAGGTAAGGGATAAAGGCACAAAAACTGTGGTAATATTATTCTGGTATACCTTGTACATAAATACCCAAAGAGCCAGTGCTTCAAAGCAGGACATCTCTTGTAAGATTTGAGGTTTTCACAGCAGTGAGTATGAAGATTTCTGTCTTCTGGGTTGTTGCGCTGTGTGGTCGATGGTTACCAATGTTTCAGAGGTCATACTGCCTCCGTCATCAACGCAACAACCCAGAAGACTCAAATCTCCAGGACATCTCTTGTGTAATATGGAACCATTCCAGTAATCCTCTTCACTAACGGACAGAAATATATCTTGCATGAATGAATTATTAAACATCATCTACTGGTATTCATGTGCTATTCTGTAGGATCTCCAATGGCCCCATTTGAAATGAGACTCACTAACTCAGAACTTCTAGTTATTAACCGAGTGCATACATGTCATTTGCTATAAAATCTCTTTCGGCATTGGGCATAAATTGGAAGTTCAGTGGGTTGACTTTGAGAATATAAAAGAATTAAGTGTGTAGGAATGTGAAGTGGATTCAACTGTCTTCGGTTATTGTAGTAATGACACTGAACAGGTTCTGTTGTTCTGTTACCGGAAAGTTAGTGTTGCTCTTAGGTGTTCTGGAACCTGAGGCCAGTCCCAGGAAATGCAACCTTTCTCCAGATGAATCAAGAAAGAATAACAGTTTTCAGCTGTAATTGCAAGTCTGGTTTGGATATATTACTACTGTTGCCATAGTAATTTGATTTTGAAAATGTAGGTTTTTTGTAACTGATACTGTTTAGAATAAGAACGTAAACTGTAACAAATTTTAAAATTAAAATACGGGTTATTCATATTGTAGAACTACTTACAGCCCTATATGTTTGGGCTTTAGCAGATAAAAATATTTGTTACACCATTACCTAAAAGTGGACAAAACAACAAAACCTGTGGAGTACACAGAGAGTCCAGATTAACAGATATGTGCATATAAATGAAGTTACGAAAATTAATTTATGTGTGTGTGAAGCAGTTGTCACTCTCTGAAAACAATTTCATTAGCAGAGCATGTAGAAGTTGTATTGATACTGTTGCTCCTTGAAAAATACTACTTACAAGGAAGGCAGAATAAGCATTCAATTGAACTGTTATTTATTAATGTTGTTTTATACTTTGTTTTATGAGTGGTATTATAACATTATTGCTCTCGGTTATTATTCACATTAAATGTTCTTCTTAATTATGGATTAAATAGGCTACTGCAGACTCAACTGGGAATTCAGTCACCTGTCATAACGTTGTGTCTGTGGAAAATCGAGTTCTTAAAAATACGAATAAACTTTTGGAATACGATTTGTTTGTAACTTGTAGAAAATCTGTACTGAAATTGTGCTACTATGACAGTAAGAGTGAAAATAAGCACAAAAACATCAGTGTTTGGATATGAGCTGATACAACACTACTCCATAATGGCATTCAGGAGAGTGAGTGGGGAGGAATGGCACTTTTAGGATCTTCTGATGTTTGTAATATAAAACTTTAAATATCAGACAAACATTTAATGAAGTCTAAATCTTCTGTCATACTTAGTTTTCACAACGGGGTTTT